TTAGTTACTTACGTTACTTACTTACGTTACCTTACGTTACTTACTTACGTTACGTTACTTACTTACTACGTCTTACTACTCTCTACTCTCTCTACTCTCTCTCTCTCTCTCTCTCTCTCTCTCTCTCTCTCTCTCTCTCTCTCTCTCTCTCTCTCTCTCTCTCTCTCCAATGAGATATTTAGTTTCTTATTGAAATATATGATAAATGTTTCAATTAGTTCAAAGCGAGCCATAGAACGTGGAGAGATAGAGAGAGAAGCATAATCCTTTAAGGTACATATAGAATGGTTAAGTTCTGAATCAGAAAATGTTTGTATAAAGCTTTTCAACCTTTTTTTTTATTTTTATCGTTAACTTAGATTCTTTAATTGGAGCCAAGGCTCGAGCTTACAACATATTACAAAGATCGTAACAAAGAAGAGAAGAGAGGAGAACAAAGATGAGAGGGGGATAGGGGGGGAGAACTAAAAAGACCTAAGGGGCAGACCTAGCTAGAACATCAGCCGCACCATTTTTTTCACAATTAACGTGGCAGAAGACGACGTTTTTGCTAGAAATGGCTAATTGGATGTCATCCATGACAGAAGTCCAAAGCCAAGGGGCTTTGTGAGGGTGCTTGTACCAAGAAATAATGTTTGCCAAATCACCCTCGACAAGAACTTTAGAGTGACAAACCTGAAGCCTGCTGACCCCTTCCTTAACTGCACAAAGCTCGATTTCATTGATATCACAAAACTGCAAACCCCCACTGTAGATGAAAATAGGATCTTCAAGATGGTTTCTAAGAATACCACTATAGTTGGCTACAACTTCAACAGCTCGAACACTACCATCAAAGTTAAGTTTGAGCCACCCTTGCAGAGGTGGTTTCCATACAGCAGACTTAACAATCTTAGGGGGGTGATGTGTCATTAATTCCAAAAAACTAGTAGCAAAGCAATATTTAGGGTAGAGATTAAGCTACGAAAGAATCTGAACCCATAAAGTGGTCCCTCGGATTACCTAGTTTTTAATGTGCTTTATATAATGAGATCTCCCTTCAAAAATCCTGACATTCATCTCTTTCTAAATGTACCACAGGACCGCTGCTACCACCAATCTCCACAAAAGATTACCCATCGAGGGGAAAGGGGGATTAAGAATCATTCTAAAGAACTAATGAATATTCTGAGCCATTACCCAATTCCCATTCGATATGGAGGCCACCCAACACCAGATAGAATAGGAAAATGGACAGTGCTGGAAAATGTGACTACTACTCTAGGCATCTAACTTGCATTGGATACAAGCATCTACCAGAATTTTACCCAGTTAATATTCTATCATGTTCAAGAAGCCACAAGAATGTAGTGATTCTCTTTGAGGCTTTGACAGACCAAACCTTAGTATGACTATTAGAGCTCTGAAAAATCATGTCATTGCACACTTCAGCATATAGAGATTTAACTGAGAATGCACCATCAGCCGTTAACTCCCAAATTAAAGATTCTTTTCTCCTGAGGAAATAAGCTACATAATGAAGCAGTTGTAATAGGGAGATAAATTGTTGTTCAGAGATAGCATCTATCCTTTTGTTTCGCAGTGAAATGTCCCACGTACAATTCATACCCTCTCCTTGGAGCATCTCATAAATGCAGTTATTCTTAGTTTCTGACAGTTTATACAGCTCTGCGTAGGTAAGCTTCAGCGTGGAATCCCCAATCCACTTCATTAACCAAAATTTCATAAACCTACCATCACCCACCTTCATCCGAGCATAAGTCTTGAACATATTCCTCACAGAGTCTATCCCTTTCCAAATAAAAGATGATGATCTTCCTTCTATGAGTTTCTTGGGGAGAATATCTGACTCATCTGTCCCATATTTGGCCAGAATAATTTCCTGCCACTCCACGTCTTGTTCTTGAGCTACCCTCCACCGCCAATTTGGTTAGCAGTGCATCATTGAAATATTTCAATCTTCTAATACCCAATCCCCCTTCATGCTTTGGTCTACACACTTGCTCCTATCTTACCCAATTGTATTTGCGGTGTTCTTGAGAGGCACTCCAAAGGAAGTTCCCCATTAAGACTTCTAATTTCTTGAGCACCGAGGCTGGGGCTTGAAATAGAGAGAGAAAGTAAACCAGGGACTTAGCCAAGGAAGAGTTTATCAAGGTTATTCTTCCCCCAAAGGAAAGATATATGCTTTTCCATTCATTTAATTTGTATTATGCCCTCTAAATGATAGTATCTCAGACTAAGACCGACAGCCTTCCATCTACCAAAGGGACACCCAAGTATTTGGAGGGAAAATCTTCTATTTCACAACCCAACCTTGCATTCTATTCTCTAAGTTCCTCAGTGGAGCAATTGATCACTATAAGCTTAGATTTGAAAAGGTTTACCTTAGCTCCCGAGATTAATGCATAACACCTCAAAAACAGCCAAACATATTGAATTTGTTTGAGGGAGGCTCTGGTCAATAACAATGTGTCATCAACATACTGAAGGTACGAAATTTGCTTACAATATCCTTGGATCTTGAGCCCATGAATAACGTTCTTTTCCATAACAGATTTCATCATCAAACTAAACGATTCTCCAACAAGGGTGAACAATAATGGAGACAAAGGGTCTCCTAGACGAAGGCCTCTAGTGGCACGAAAGTAACCACAAACCTTTCCATCAAAAAAGTCATGCCTGAAAAATCCATTGAAAAAAGTTATTTTGATGGTGAAAAGCCATCTAATTTATCACCTCAACCTTGAGATATCTGGATGTGAAAAAAAAAATTAAGTACCAAAGATGATACAACTTGTAATACATTATCTAAACTGTCTATTCTCAAGATTTTCAAGTATTCATAGATTTGTTCGATTTTACACCATTTTTCGAGTTTGAAATTTTCTAATAAGATGTGAAGTAGTTTTTCAGGTTATCATTGAAATTTCTGAAACCAAAAAAGTCATCAAAATTTTCGACACCAAAATTACATCTTTAGATAAGCTTTAGAAGTGCGCCTTAATTAGATTATCTAAGGTTGACACCTTCTACAAGGGAAAAGTTTCCATACTTCTCCTACATCATAGAATATTTATGCTTCCCTGACCATCCAACTGTCCAATTTTGTTCAAGAGAGCCACTCACAGTTTGATCTTAGATTTGACGTCTCAAAGTATTTTATTTTTAATTTTTTTTATACAAATTGTATGAATATAAAATTTGGGACATGCTATAGTCTCGTTGGGGCTCACCTATAAAGAATATTAAAAATAATTTTTTGATAAAATATAATGACCAAAATACCCCTTGAAATTTTCATGAGTAGTTTGATCGTTTTATTTTATTGAAAATATTTTTTTTTATATTTTTCATTAGTGAGAATTTAATAGAGGATTGGACATACAAATTTTGGTGTCAAAATAGTTTACATAAAATAAAAAATAAAAAGAAATAGTGTAGAGATGTGACATTTTGATTGGAGCAATCTTAGCTCTCCATTCAGAATGGACGATTGGATAAGGGGAAGTATATAAGTTTTATGTTGTAGGGAAAGCATAGAAGCTTGCCCCTTGTACAAATTACATCCAACTATTTTAGTGACCCATTTCCTTATTCCATTTAGGGGCATTTGTCATTTAAATTGATATAGTGGATAGCCCCACTGAAGAAGTGGGGTAAGTTTTTATATCTAACATGAGCCATTTTTTGTTTTGGAAGAACAGGAGCTTCATCATCATCATCAAAGTCTTTTGCCAATTAATTGATGTCGACTACATGAATCATGTTCTGTCGTTTAGTTTTATTAAGGGCTATACCTTCAGTGAGTCTATAAGTTCCCATATCATTTCTCACTACCTCCAATTATGTTATCTTGGATCTACCCTTGTTTTTTTTTAGCCTTGTACTTAAACTAACTCGCACCTCCTAACAAGTACTGTATTGGATATGCACGACGCATGGCCAGCCAACCTATGTTTGCTTTCTCTTATCTTATCGCCTATTAGTCGACACCTAAATTCTCCTAAATGTATTCGTTTCGAATTCTATCACTTTTTGTCTTGTCACTCAATCTCAACAGGCGTAGGAACTTCAAGCCCCAAATATTATATTACGTTATTTCCAAGTATAGAATACCTACAATAAGTAGATGATTCAATTCTTTCTGTACATTCCAAGTATATAATACCTACAATAAGTAGATGATTCAATTCTTTCTGTACATTCAATTGCAAACGTGCCCAACGTGAACACCTTTCCATTGAGATCCACATTAAATCATAAGTTTTCCCATAAAGAAAGAAAAAAATTACTTATAAAATATGTGGCTAACCATCCAATTATCTGACGACAATTTCCAATCAAGATGAGGATGTTGCATAATGCTCTATTCTAGGGTTATGAAACTACGAGTTGCATTCTTATTTCTTTTATAATTAATGAAAAAAAAAGGTAGGGGCCATCCCCCCAATGATTTAACCAAAAAACAATCAAGATGAGGATATTATTTTTCACAAGGATCGGTAGAGTGCAAATAAAAAGAAGTTCATTTTTAAAGTTGGCCACTAGATTAAAGAGGTTGAGCCCTTCAATTTTGGGTTCTTAAGCTTGCTCATGCGTAAGGTTTTATACTAGAGAGTGAACCTCCCAACAAACTCTTGGAGGAGCAAAGGATCTTTGGACACGCTATAGAAGCCGTTTTATGGCTAATATAAAAGCGACGACTTCTATAAAACAATGTCAATTTAATGACTTTTTAAACAACATCACACTTCTTACGAAACAAACACAATTTCGTGAAAGGTGCACCTTTGCCCTTGCCGTTGCCGTTGCCCTTGCCGTTGCCCTTGCCCTTGCCCTTCATTACATGCATGTTTGCTCACTACAGGTAATTGTTCCTGAAAATTAAAAGTTCTTCTTAATTGGGAAAAAAGCCGTTAGAAGAAAGTTATAAGTGTATATGTTTGGTAATTTATTGGCATATTAAAGAAGTTTTAGGTACCTGTGTTTAACAACCTGTTCAAAAATAAAGTCCTGTTCATTTAAAAATTATTAAAATATTATATATGAAATATTTTTTTATATTAGACATAAAATAATATATAATATATATTGTATTGTAAATAATTATCTATTGTATTGTAAATACCTATCATGTAAATAAACTATATTATACAAAAAATATATTATATTTTATATTATGTAATATTATATATATATATATATATAACAGCTTATATTACATAAAATATATTATATATTATACAATAAAATATAAAATAGATGTTATATAATATATAATATAGTGTATTTTATATTTATTTGTATTATATTATATTATATTATATTATATTATATATATATATATATATATAGGGGTTTGTCTAGAATTAACAACCCCTCAAAAATACAAAGGTTCAAGTTAAAAAAGGTTGTGATGAGTATATTTATCAAAATAATCATTATTTTTTATTAAAAAATTATTAAAATAGGTAACTTTATCATTAAACAATGACAAATTTGAAATTTTTACAAAAGTATAATGACATTTTGGAAGTTAGTGTCCTAGAACTTTATTTGTAGAGTGTCATTGTTGTTTAGATAAAATTTTAATTTTACCCCTTATGGAGATGATAAAAATACCCTTTGTCTTGTAATAATATTTACAAATTTGCCCCACAAAAACAACTTTTTTAAAAAATAAACAATAAAATTAATAAATTCATCCTTCACAACTCTCTCTATCTTGAACTTTTGCAATTTGAAAGGTTGTCAAGTTTATAATATCCCGTATATATATATAGTAATGATCCTATAGGACCCTCTCCTCACTTTTGTGTGTAGGACCCCAAATGATCACCATTAAAGTTGGCATAGATCTCTAGAAAATTTATCATATAGGTGTGAGACGTGACTTTTCTAGAGATCCG